GTTCGATTTTAACCCTTTTAGGTAAAGGAACTTGTACCTTTGATAGACACCCCCACACTTTGAAATATTTCAAGTTGGGTTTTCTTCTTTTCCATTTTTCATATGGAATATATTGCATTTTGCTGTGGGGTGCTCTGTTGAGTATTCGGCTAGCTGTAAGGATATCTTCGCCCCACAAACTCTGCAGTAATCCAGAACTTATTAATAAAGAATTCATCATTTCCTTTAATGTCCGATTTTTCCTTTCCGCAATTCCATTAGATTGAGGTGTGTAAGATGCAGTAGTTTGATGGATAATTCCATATTCCGAACATATTTCTGCAAACGGAAATTCATATTCTCCACACCGATCATTTTGATCTTTTTATTCAATTGATTCTTCACTTCATTCTTGTATTGCTTAAATGCTTCAATTATTTCATCCTTATTATTAAGCAAATAAACATAATAATATCGAATGCAATCGTCAATAAAAGTAATAAAATACTTTTTCCCACCTCGAGATGGTGTCGACTTCATATCACAAATGTCAGTATGAATTAAGTCTAAAGGATTTGAATTCCTTTCAATAGACTTATAAGGATGTTTTACAAACTTAGACTCAACACATATTTGACATTTTGATTTATTACACTCGAATTTAGGCAATACTTCTAAATTAATTAACTTCCGCAAGATTTTGTAATTGACATGTCCTAAACGAATATGCCATAAATCATTTGACTCTAATAAATAAGAAGAAGCTGAAATTTTATTCATACTGTCAACAACCATTACATTTAGTTTGAAGTGGCCCTCTGTGAGGTAACCCTTTCCAACATACATTTCATTCTTGCTTACAACAACTTTATCAAAAACAAATATACATTTGAATCCATTCTTAACAAGCAAAGAAGTAAAAACTAAATTCTTCCTAATAGTAGGAACATGAAGAACGTTGTTGAGTGTTAACACCTTTCCGAAAGTCTTCTTCAGGAATATCTTCCCATAACCTTCAATTTTGGTTGTTGCAGTATTTCCCATGGAAAGCTCTTCTTCGGGACCAGCAGTAGAGTAAGTCACAAATGCTTCCTTGATAGCACAAACATGTCGAATGGCTCCAGAGTCAATCCACCACTCCTTCGGATTTCTAACTAGGTTGCATTCCAAAAGCATTGCACACAGATCGTTAATGTTATCATTCTTCTCCACTATGTTGGCCTGTTCCTTTTTCTTATACTTTTTCGAGAGACGACAATCAGGGGCTTTGTGACCGGGTTTTCCACAATTGTAGCAGCTACCCTTGAATTTTTTTTTGTTCTGCTCCTTAGTCTGTCCAGAAAACCTCTTTCTCTTCTTACTATTTGGAGCAGTCTCCTCAACGATATTAGCTCCCATGATTGTTGAATTTCCACGAGACTTCTTCTCGGCTGTTTTGTTGTCTTTCTCAATCTTGAGACGAATCACAAGATCTTCCAACTTCATTTCTTTGCGCTTGTGCTTAAGATAGTTCTTGAAATCTCTCCACGAAGGAGGCAATTTTTCAATCATTGCAGCCACTTGAAATGCTTCATTCACGACCATACCTTCAGCAATAAGGTCATGAAAAATAAGTTGAAGCTCCTGAACTTGGGTTCCAATAATTTTGCTGTCTATTATTTTATAGTCTAGAAACTTGGCAACCACGAACTTCTTCAAGCACGCATCTTCAGTCTTGTACTTCTTCTCAAGTGTGTCCCATAATTCTTTCGAAGTATTCATCGCACTGTACACATTGTACAAGTCATCCTCTAAAGCGCTTAAGATATAGCCTTTGCAAAGAAAATCTGCCTGCTTCCACGCCTCAACAATCATGAATTTCTCGTTGTCCGGCATATCCGCAGAAGGCACTGGAGGTTCTTCACTAGTGAATTTCTACGTACCAAGTGTGGTAAGCCAGAAGAACATCTTTTGCTGCCATCCTTTGAAGTTCTCTGGAAAATTTCCCCGGTTTCTCTGCCGGTGGAACAGCAGTCCGGCTTGACGAGGCTATCGCCGTTGCCGCAACAGTCGCAGAAGAATTTCCGTTATCAATTGCCATTTCTCACTGTAAACAACAGAAGAGTTCAATTAATGTCAAAATCAGAACAGTAAACAATATTGTTATTAACAAAAACAGTATGTATAATAAATAAAACCGAAGTTTTTATATACTGTTTCACAGAAAAACGATGAAATTTTTATGTTCTTCAAATCGTTTTATGAATTTCAATACTCTAATGAAGTTTTTTATATCTTCAAATCAGAATAGTAAAATTCAGAAGGAATAGAAAACCACACAGGTTTTAATCTCCACAAACAAAATACAGAATATAATAAAATAATTTCCTTAAGATTGATATAAATCTGTATTGTTGTAATAAATAATTAAATCATTAAACTTTCTGAAATATATAAACAAAACAGAAAGTTAGTAACAATTGTTTAAAGAAATAATTTATGGAAAAATAGTGTAGGAATAAATCGGGCCCACTGAATACACCGTGTGTCCTTAAGGAAATTATTTCCCTCAAATACCCGAGGTACTGGAATATATCCTCCCAGAATAGAACGATTTAACTCACCGGAGTGTTGGTACCAAAACGTCGGTGAACATCGAGCCACTCGAAGGCTGTAAAATACACTGAATTTTTTGTGCAGAAGAAGAAAAAGATCAGAAAAATTTCATAAGGAAAGATTCTGGGATTCAAAGTATATTTATAGAGTTGCTGGCATTGTTTCTGAAAAGGTTTGCAACCTTTCAGAAACAGTCATGGCTCTTGGAACAGGTTGTTTGAAATATTACGGGAAAATTTAAAATAATTCGGGAAAGAAAACGGGCCTGACCGGACCGGGTCGCGGGTCATGGGTTATTCCGGATTGAATTTTTCGTTAATTATTTATTTAATTAATTAATTAATTAAAAGAAATTTTATCCAAAAAGATTAATCAATCAATCGATCTTTGATCGAAGCCGAAGCCGAGCGAGCGACGACAACGGCGCGAGGCTTGCCTTCTTCTTAACTCTTTAAGAGCTAGAAGAAGAGCAATTATATATATACCCATCAAAAGCCTTTTCTTCCTCCAATATGGGACAATGTCCTTTTGCCAAGGAGGAAAACTCAAATATTTCATATTCCATTCATTTCTCATTCACCCTCTTTAAGCTACACAAGCTTAAAATTCCAACACATTACCATCAACAGAGCAAAAATATGAGATCAGCTGATATACTAACCGGACAAACTATATTTGAATATACATGTACATACATAATGATCAACTGTATATAATATACAATAAATAGACCCATTGAATTCTACGGTGTGTATATGGTTGAAAAATAAATAAAATTTTAAACCAATTCCAAACCCATTATTACAAGAAGAGAAGTGGATTGCATTGGTAACTAAAATATCCATGAATAACTTGTATAGTTTAGTAACTTTAGCATTCATATCAATATTAATTTCTGAAAATAGTGGTACAAGAAGAACAATAATTGATTTAAATAAAAAAAATTGGGAGATTTTGGATTATCTAACAGATTAAAGGGTAATTTTTAAATGTTTACTGATAGTAGGCGTAAATTTGACTGGATAGTATAACGGTATGGATAAATTTGGTCATATAATATGACGGAGGTTAAATGTTGACAATATTCGAAAGTAGAAGGGTATATTTAGCCCTTTTCCCTTTTCAAAATTATGCGTCCCTCCCCTCGGCCATACAAAATATTTTTGCATCATTTCACTCAAGATAAGGAAAAATCAGTTGAAACTCTTTTTTTCGATTAGATCAGACTTTCACGTTGAAAAAAGAGAAAAATCAGACTCTCACTAATTATACTTTTGCGAAAAAACTCATTTTATCTCTTCCCTCCCTCCATACTCCAACTATCCAGCCCCTCCAGGTGATTTATATTTCTTTTACTCTCTTTATTTTGTTATGTTTGTTAAACGATAAATGTTAAGAAAATGTTCGAACTGTTCGAAATGTAAATAACAGAAAAAGTTCGAACTGTTTCAGCCACCCCATTTGATACTTGAAACTAAGTAGTCCGACTAATGTAGATTCATATTGGGTACATCCACTAAAAGAGCAGAGCCCTATTGAAAAGTCCTTTGTTCAGCTCAAACCCAAGAATCATGGTTAAGGGTAGAGCAATCACAAATCGTATACCCGGTGGTGATATTACCCACTCCATTCCAAGATCTCAAGAACAGACACTTTAATTTTAAGCTCTCCTTACATTAGATTCTGGAAATTCTGAAAATCCATAATTCTTGAAAATCAACAACAACATACTCAGTGTAATCCCCCAAGAGCGTTCTGGGGAGGATAGTATACATACGCAGCTTTACCCCTACCTTGTGCAGGTAGGGAGGTTGTTTCCGATAGACTCTCGGCTCAAAGCAAGCATGCATAATCAATCACAACATAATAGAGAAAGAAACATAGTAGCAAAAAAGTCAAAAAAGCGATAACACCAACACGATATAATAGAAAAACCATATACAAAAACCGGGTAGTAATATAAATCTAGGAATATGAAAATACGAGGATAACGTTACCACTACTTAAACGAAAGGATAGACACTCGATTGCCTACTAGCCTTTTACTTTAATTCTCGACCTCCACACCCTCTTATCAAGAGTCATGCAGTAAACTGAAGTATATATGAAATTATATCATATATCTTGTATATTGGAACCGGAATCACATTCATTCTAGATCAAATGGAATTTCAAATACTAACCATAACCTTGTCACTTGTCAGTGAGTGCAGAGTTCTCACCATGCCACTAGACATATTTTTAAGAAAACAGCATTTTTACAATCTACACAGTAAAAAAAATATACTACAACTAATGAATCTCCTCCGAAATAACCTTGTCCTCAGTAAGCATTTGAGATAATTCAGTGCTTATGCAGATGACTCAGTATTCATACTGACAAAACAATTTGATTCAATAATAATAGTAAATGATTTTGTTTTCAGAAAAATGGAGTTAAAACTACAGAAAAAACAAACAAGAGAACGAAAACGAACACACCTTCGAGGATGCACTTTCTTGTATAAATGAAACACATTTGTATAGCATGAGTAGGATTGTTCATAACTGTACTATTTCAACCTGTATCTATAATACAAAAGGTACTATCCAAAAGATGGTTCTCTCTTATATATGGAAACTTTTCCTCATTATGAGGTCACCAACTTTTCGGAACAATGCTTTTCTTCTACTACTAGAATTCGTATCACTATCTGATTCATCGGAATGGTTATAATCTGGATTTGTATTTGGTTTTCCTGCATCATCTGCTAAAGCAGGTGAAGACGCTCTCCTGCGATGAGATAGGGAATGTGGTGTACGAGGCTCTGACTTCGGTGTGACTGAAGTTGGATCAAAAATTGAGCCCTTAAGCGCCTCATCCTTTTCAGAATCACCAACTTTTTGAAGTTTCAGCTCTCTAAGATCAGCACTGAAACTTTTCTTGACTTTATGATCCTCTATATGTTCCTCAACCATTTCCTTAGTTCTGAATTCTGCTGACGATGAAGAAGGCAAGCGTTTGAACTCGTTAACATTCTCATGAGCTGCAGGTGTATTGGTCTTAAGGCGTTCATTTTCTCTAGAGAGAAAATGCAAAGCTTCCTCCTTCTCAGCCAACCGATCTTTGAGTTGAGAATTTTCATCTCTAGCTAGGCCAGCTGCAGCTTTTGCTGCATTCGCTTCATTGATAGCTTGCTTCAATATGTCCCTCAATTTGTACTTTTCTTCCTTTGCTGCTTTAGTCGTATCCTCGGCTGCTTTAAGAGACTCTGCAAGCCTTTCCGTCTCGCGCTGAGCCAGAGTTCGTTCTTCTTCAGCTCTTTTTATACAAGTGATGAACCCCATCTCCTTCCCGTTCCACGCTAGAAGTGACTCCTCGGTCTCTAATCTCAATCTGTCTGCTGTATTTCTGTATAGGTCCGTCTCTTTTTTCGCCTCATCCAAGAGTTTTTGATATCTGGCCTCAGTATTTCTAACCATGTCCTTCAATTTTCCCGCTTCCTCTTTCACTTGTTCTAACTCTAATAGAGTAGCACTGAGTTTCTCCTTGGCCTCTGACGCTTCAGTAGCAACTTCCTTCAATGCTAATGCTAAATCGTCCATCGCCTTTCTGCTTTTTTCCTCTGCCTCACTAGCCAACTTAACTTCATTCTTAAGCAAGCTTATCTCGTCGTTCAAATTCTTAGCCTTTGAAAGGGCAATTTTCTCCCTCTCTTGCGCATTAGCCACATCCTCCTTTGCCAACGCAAGTTCAGAGTTAAGGCTTTCGAGTTCCTTTTTCACAGAATTGGCGATCTCCCCATTGGAAAAACCATTAAGGCGCCCGCTATTTCTCTTCGAAGAAGTCTCTAGCGATCCAACCTTCTCGTGAAGTGAAGCCATCTCGAGCTTGGCTTCTTCAAGTTCGATCTTAGCTTGTTCAAACTGCCTCATCTGCGACTCAAACGAATCATATATTTTCGACTCGGATAACTTCCTTTGCTCTAATTCAACTTCTAGTTCTTTAACCATTTTCTTAAAAACAGACAATTGTTCTGTTGCTTGAACTTCAGATGCTTTCATATGATTCATCTCCTCTCTCAATCCTCCTAACATAGCATCTTTTTCTGCTAACTTGACCTCGTATTTCTTCACCCTTTCGAGCTCCAGCCTCAGCGACTCGATATTCTTATCTTTAATCTTCAATTCTTCTTGAGTTTTAGAATTCAATTCCTTCAAAACCTTAAGTTCAGCAATTAGTTCCCCTGCTTTTTTAGGTGATAATCCCTCATTTAGCTTCTGATTAGCCTCATTAGCAACTTGTCTCGTCTCCTTAAGTTCTTGAATTGCTCTATTCTTTTCTCCTTCAACAAAATTTAATTGCTCTTTTGTCTCCTTCAACTCCTCCTCAAGATGTCCCATTTGTTCTTGCATCAGCAAAATTTTATTCACCCGATTCTACAAACGCCAAAAATAAGAATGAATTAAAATTCTATACGACAGTAGAAAATATAAAAAACTTCTAGTAGTACTTTTCTTTTTTAATGTATATGGGTGAACCGAGGAAACAGCCTTTTGCAGACATGCATGGTAAGACTGCGTACGATAGACCCTTGTGGTCCGGCCCTTCCCGGTATCCCGCGCATAGCAAGAGCTTAGTGCATCGGGCTGCCCTTAATGTATATGGGTGAGAGATGAGCTTAAATAGAGCGATATGATCAGTGAATATTCATGTAACCGACTCTAACTTGCTTGGAATAGAGGCGTTGTTGTCGTTACGGAGGAAATCCAATATACAAATTACACCAAAGATCAAATACTAATTGTATCAACAACAACTAACCCACGGTACTAAACGAGTTGGGGTCGACATTGAAAACTAATTGCATACAACACTGACAACAAACCCAATATAATCTCATAAGTGGGGTCTGGGTAAGGTAGTGTATACGCAGACCTTATCCCTACCCTATAAAAACTAATTGCATAATTCCTAAAAAATTACACAAAAAATTACAACAAAATATTGGAAAATTTTAATAAATACCTCAGATAAATGGTCAACTTTAGAGGGTTTATTTCTTTCAAGAGAAACAAGGGCGTTTGAATCAATTTGACAACCCAAAGCATCACCTCTACAAAGCTTTGATGCAGAAATTGCTCTTGAAAATCTTGAAGAATGGCTCCTTTGTCCTATATCAGATCTACAAATCCCCCAAAAATATCAAAAAGATTCAATCTTTAATTAACTCTCATACACTCAAACATTAAAACATCAAAAAGATTCAATTTTTAATTAAATATCATGCAAACTCAAACCATTAAAGTAAACAAGAGACAAAAAACAAAGAGAAACCCATAAACGAAAACCTTAGGTTAGAAACCTGACATGAAAAAAAAATAACAGAAAAATCCGAGAAAATCTCTGAACTTCAAAAGAATTATATAAACTTACACCACTTTAGATAATATCGACACCCAAATAAAAATAAGGCTAATATATAATGATAATAACAAGGAAAAATATTAAAAGGGGGTACCTTGATTTTGAACGTAACATTTTGTTTGAATACGTGTTTGAATCTCTTTTTTTCTCTAGGAAGATTCTTGGAAAAATCAACACAAAAACTGAGAAAATTCCACCTTTTTTTTGTATATACCAATATAAGTAATTTTTTCCAGTATTTATGTGTGTTTGGGAAAAAAAAAAGTTGTTTTGAAAGTTTACGGTTTATGACAAAGTCCGAGGTTGGCGGGGGTTTTGTTTGGTAATAAAATGCAGTAACGGCAAAAGGTATGAAAGAGAAAGATTTTTTCAGAATGAGACAAAGTGAAAGGGATGTATATACAGTTATACACTAGTAGAAGAAGATTTTGCAGACATGGTAGGAGATCTGTGTCAATTGACTAAATTGCCCTTGATTAAGGTCAACTTTTGATTTTAATGAGTTAATTAACACAACCTCAAACAAGTTTGATTTATAGGTCACGGGTTCGAGCCGTGGAATCACTCATCGATGCTTGCATCAGAGTAAGGTGCGACCCTTCTTCGGATACTGGATAAACACGGAATGCTTTGCGTACCGGACTGTGCCTTGCAAATACTTTAGTCATTATTTGAAAGTTGAAGTTTGGACATAAAATTTTGAGTTACAAGTGGATATTATTTGAATTCCAAGTCAAATATGAAAATTCTAATTTAAAGTGTAATTCAAGTGATTTTTTTACAAAAATAAAAAATCTTCAACTTTAGCAAAAATAACTTCAACTCAAATATAGTCTATAACCCTCCTAAAAAAGTTTCAAAATTTTTTAGGTTTTAAGTTTGTTTACAAATTATAGTAACGCCGCATGAACACTCTCATGATAAAAAGAACGATGACATATAGAGTAAAGAGTCAATATTTAATGTTAATTCAGATATCCATTAAAAATTTTAGGAAAAATTTTTCATATATAGAAACTACACAAAGAGTACCATAAATTTCTTACTTTAAACTGATAAAAATATATGAAATGATCGTAATAAAAGAAGAAGGATTTACTTCACAAATATTGTCTTTATTTTGGAGAAAAATAAAAGATTGACTATAATACTATAGTAATATAGTTTTAGTCCGTTTGGCCAAGCTGTAAAAATCAGCTTATTTTGAGAAGTGTTTTTTTTCAAAAGTACTTTTGGTGAGAAGCAGTTTGTGTTTGGCTAATAAGTTTGAAAAGCACTTCTGAGCAACAATTAGTGTTTGGCCAAGCTTTAAAAAACTGCTTCTAAGTGAATTTTTTTCAAAAGTGCTTCTCAAAAAAGTGCTTTTGGAGAGAAGTTATTTTTTTCTGCTTCTCCAAAACTGTTTTTGTTTCTCCTCAAAAGCACTTTTTTTTCTTTGAAAAACTTGGCCAAACACCTCAATTTTTAGCCAAAAATGCTTTTGGCAAAAAAAAACACTTTTAGCCAAACAGGCTATTTATGTTAATTCACTTGAAATATGCAAAAGCCAAGTATTGATATGCTGCCTTTAATTAACCCCTAAAGCCATATATACTTTCTTGGCTTCCAATTTCAGACAACTAATTTGCGTGATGTTGATTTGTCAATTCTAACACTGAGTTAAGTGTAATTTACAAAACAAATTAGGGAAAGTTTGTGTAATTAATCACAACTTAATATTTTGAATTTTATATTTTATTATTAATAGAAGGAGACATGGAGAATGCTTAGAAACTGAGAGTCTGACTTTGTCTAGGGGCCGATAAACATGACGTTGGAATTTGTTTCAATTAATTAATATTCAACTACTGAATTTAATAATGGATTGATTTCAATTAATGAATTTTAATCTTTAATAACAATTGATAAGTATTGTAATTAGTAGATCTTGTGAGCTTTGACGATACAATTGGCGTTATGTTAACCTACTTCCTTGGAATATTATTATAAACAGAAAATGTCAGAAAAATACGTACCTGGAAAATTGTTATTATAAAAAAGAAAAGGTCAGAAAATATCAATTTGAAGAAGTTTATTGAGGCGTCACGTCTATTGAATAGGTCTTAAAGTTGTACTAATACGATTATATTGGTAGATATTCTAAGCTACTAGAAACTTAGTAAGCATCTGAACATAAAGAATGTGAAATTTAAAAAAAAAAAGAAATTGAAGTTAATTTGAAAAAAAAAATATTTGAAAATTGAACTTGTGTTTGGACATGCAATTCACTTGAAAAAAATAATACAGTTTTACGAGGAAAAAACATTGTTTACTTGAAAAAGAAGTAAGAAAATATTTCTAAGTTTGAAGCTCATCTTCAAAAATTCAATGAAATGTATAACCAAACAATATTAAAATAGAAAAATTTTGTATGAGCAAACGGTTCCTTAGATTGTTTCTTCTTTTTTGTTTATTTTTCTCTTCCTTTTCGTTGTTTTAGACGAGAAATTTTATATTGTGTCTCATGCCAAGTTATACTTATGTGCAGAGGCGGATTTAGGATTTATGTGCAGCGGGGGCACCACTATTAATATAGATATGTCAGCTAATAACGACAAAATTTGACGTGTTAACTCCTTAAAAACTTAGTGACTTTGAGTCAGTGATCGAAAGTACATTAAACAATATCAAAAATTTAGTCTAATAAGATCACAATTGAAATTCTGTAAAGCAGAAGTCTCTGTAACGCCCCAAAATTTTTTAATATTTGCATTCTTGATTGAGCATTTTTATAACGAGGAAATATTTTACTTTGCACTTCCTAAATGTGAAATGGTCAATATATGAAAATTCCTTACTTTAGGTTGTGTTAATATTGGCAATGAAGTTTCATGATGTTGCTATATGTAACACTTAATATTATTTTGACTAGTTGTTATTAATTATTGTGAGCACGTGATTTTTGCCCTATATGAGAATCGCTCCCAAAAAATTCAAAATAAAACAATTTTTCTTTGTATACAATTTTTGTATTTTGTGGTATTTTTGTATAAGTATTTTTATTTTTGTCTGTGCATGTTTATTTGTTAAATTAATAAAAAATACAAAAAATATGTCGCATTTGCATTTAGGATTTAATCCTACAATTGTTAGTAATTAAGTTTGTTTTACAAAAATTAAAAAATTACAAAAATAGACATCTTTTGCATTTTTAGCATTTAATGTCCAAATGTACAATTTTATGCTTAATTATTACTTAATTATGCGTTAATTTTTATTGGGAATTAATTTGCGCTTTTATAACTTAATTTAGTTCTTAATAATAATTTAAGTATTTTTATAATTTTGTTCTAGAAAAAAATAAAAGAAGAAAAAGAGCAAAAATACAAAGAAAAATCGGATTAGGCCGCTTCTTCAAATTTCAACCATAGGCCCAAATAATTGCCCAACCTTCCCCATGACCCGGTCCACTTCAAACTGGGTCGACCCGGTCTGCCCCATTAACCCAAATACGCAACACCCCTATCTTCATTTTTTTATTTTTCTCCCAAACACAAAACAAAACAAAAAAAAAGAAAACCCTAAACTAAACCATCCGCCCCCCACCTTATCTTCTTCTTCTCCAAAAATCTAAAACACACAACCATGGCTTCCCCTCCATCCTCACGTCCAAACAGACCCCTCATATCGTCATCTCCAGCCCCATCCGCCATTAACACCAAGCAGTCCACCATCGTCGTTGCTGCCTGCGTCGCTGCTGCTGTCGCGGCTGCTTCTTCTACTCCTTCTGTTGCGTCGACCATGGCTTGGTCCTCCACCTCGTCGCTACTACTTCCTAGTCGCTGTTGTTGCCCGCGTCCAGCTACGACGAGCAGCCATGGCTGCTCCAAGCAGTGTTGCTGCTTCTGTTTCCCAGCCTGCCGCTGCTGCTGCTGCCCGCCATTGCTTCATCTCCATGCTGCCGCTACTGTTTTATGTTGATGCGTTCTTCTTCATCTTTCACCTCGACTGGTGCTTGTTGCTTCGACGTCTTCAAGTCCGTTTATGTCCCAAGTTTCGTTGGTTTCGTTTAGAGTTCGTTCGATGTTCGTCGTTGGTCACTTACGGTTAGTTGTTCTAANATTGCTTGTTGTTAATATAGATTTAGTTCGTGTTCATCTTGTTTGAAGTTCGTTTTTAATTTACTAATTTAATGCGAAGTTATGTTTTGGTTTTAATTTTTGGATCATGTATCTTTGTTATAAGTTTTGTTGGATTTAATTTAAGAAAGATTAGTTGATTATTTGAAGATTAGTGATTTGAATATGTTTATTTGTTTTGTTTAAGTTTAATTCGAAGTTTGAATAAAGTTTGTTTGTTATTGTTATTGAATATTTTCATTCATGTTCATACTTTGTTTGGTTGATCTTGAATCCGAAATTTGTATAGTTTGATTTCTTGTTTATTGTTTATCATTTATGATTATTTCTTCAGCTTGCTTCATGATCTTGTTTAGTTTTAATATAGAAATTGTTGGTTGTAATGTTGTTAGATTTAATTTTAAGTTCAAATGATTATTGAATTTAGAAATCTGAATATACATGTTTGTTGGTGTTGAATCTGAAATTAGGTTTGTTTGTTGTTAAAGATGTTGTTCAATCAAGATAATTTTTAGTTGTTTCTTTGTTGTTCATCATTTAGTATGAATTTGTTGATGAACATTGTTAGAAATTGGTCATATTTGCTATATTTTGGTTGAAATTGATTAAGTGAAGTGTTTATAGCTGATGGGGGTAGTTTGGTAATTTGCAGTACGTTCAGGGGTAGTTTGGTAATTTCAGTAAGGGCAGAGGGGGGTATTTTTGGAATTTAATTTCTGAATAATTATTTATTTTGAATGTTCTTTCCATTAAAATTAAGATAAATTTAAAGTAATTAAGCATGGGGGACAAAATGTATTGGGGTGTAGGTGATATAAATGTTTAATATAATGGGGGACAAGACATAATGTAGTGGAGGGGAATATGATAATTGTTTATGATAAGCATGGGGGACAAGATGTAATGGGGTGGTGTTGATATATTTGTTTAATTTAGTGGGATTAAAATGGGGATGAGTGGGAAGATAATGGGTTTGGTAAGAGAAAATGAGTGTTTTATTAATTAATTAAAGGGTTTGGGGATGTGATATATATAGGAGGCTTGATCAGATTTTAGAGAACACACAGACAGATAGAGAGAGAGAGAGAGAAAAAAAAAGCTGAATATTTATTCCGAAAAACATTGAAACTTTCAAGAAAAGAAAAGAAAGAAAAAATATACAAGGAAAAAAAAGAGTTGGAAATTAGAAGAGAGAGTAGTACACACCTGATAAATATTCTGATATACAGGTTTAG